TTAGGTGTGCCTTGATGAGAAGAATACACGCCTAAAATTTTAAATTATTTGAATCTGTAGAAAAAAAATTAAAATTAAAATACGAAATGAGATCGTGACTGTCAAATCGGCCCATATTCAATCTGGGCCGTAGAGTTCTTATATTCATATGAACTAGTGGGCTAATCTCAATATTTTCCATATATATATATATATATATATATATTATATTTATATTTATTTATTTCTTCATTCTTACAAAATAAAACCTAACATTTTGTCGACATATTTCTGCACCTCAAACCTCTAGTCCTAACTATGTCATGTGTTTTTGGCTACCAAAAATTCAAATTTTAACAATTGGGTCTCAAAATGTAGGCAGTGTGATAGGCATCCACCTCAAACCTTCTAGTCCTAACTATGTCATGTGTGTTTGGCTACCAAAAATTCAAAATTTAACAATTGGGTCTCAAAATGTAGGCAGTGTGATAGGCATGCATTTTGTCCTCTAATGAAAGCTAACAAAGGGAGCACCTTTTTCAATTTAGATTTCAGAATTTAGCCATAATTTTGTAAATACTTGTTAGAAGACTAATTGAGCGCACATTATTTAAGGGGTGGGTTTCTATGAGGTTGCAACCTTAAATAATCCAATTAAAACGTTCAATTAAAACGTGCCTCTAAATTGTATTGTAAGATGTAATTTTGGTGTAAACAATTCTTAGGATTATCTGAAAATTTAGTTTTATATCTAATTATAAAATTTTAAACTAAAAGAAAGGTTAAAATTAATTAGATTTATAAACTTACGAAAATCTTTAAAATAAACTATCTAAATAATATGTTGTAAGATGTACTATTTATGGGACTCAAAATATATATATATTTTTCATATTCATTCATCTTGACATCGAGATGATCAATTAGAGGGGTTTTCAACATTAAAACAACATTTTCCGATAACTTTTTGAGATGTATCTTTACTTCTACGTTGCAACCTTATATAAACTTTTTCTTTATTTAAAATCTCCATATCACCCATTTGTGAGTTGTAACACGCTGTATTTTGCTGGAACTTGGAACATACATGGGCCAATACCTATCCTACTGCCCAACAAGGGGGGACTTTTTGGCTTATGAAGCTTTGTCGTTGTACAGTACTATACGAGACAATGATCAGGAAACTTTGTCACTTATGCTGAATATGAGTAATTGCTATTCGAAGTTATTTGATCCGAATGGATGACTATGATAGCTTTAGTAATAATGTAACAAGTTATTTGTGATTATTTTATTTTTAATTTTTATTTTATAAATCATTTTCTTATGAAATTATGGATCGGCCTATTTCTCATAGAGGAGCACCAAATAAAAATAAAAAAATAAATTTTCTTGTAAAACGTTGACCAAAATACTCCTACAATAAGGTATTTTAGTTATTTTATTTTATCAAAGATATTTTAGTTATAGAAAATTGTTTCACGCAAGCTGGACCGCATTTCTACATATGCGGTCAAGAAATTGTAAAACATCCATCTTAAAGATGGATGCAAGTAGGTGTTCCATCTAAAAACAATGAAAACTAATGGTCCAAATATTTTCTTAGAAGAATTATTATTTTTTATTTTAAAATTTATTTATCTTTTCATATTTATGATCCCATTTTAGAAATGTCCTTAAAAATTAAGTTTTAAAATCCATATAAAAAATAGATTTATTAAGAAGCCCGCATTTCTAAATATACGGTCTTGGCCGCATTGAAACCCCTTTAGTTATTCTTGAGAGCACACCTCAAATTTCATGTAAAGATTTAGTCCATTCTGATTGAAGACCAGAACTAGCCGTAAAATACATTTTATGTGGGTGATACCATAGTTAGAAAATCGGTGTTTAAAATACGTCTTTTTAATAAAAATCGGTGTTTTTATGGAAAACGTTTAAAATGGTGCTTTTTTTAAAAGTTTGACATAAAAACATGTTTTTTCAGAAAAACATTTAAAACTCGATTTTAAGAAAATCGAATTAAACTGGACCAAAAAAATCGTGTCCTTTTTTTTACCTGTTAATTTTTTTTTTTAAAGATAAAAAACTTTTTTCCTAATTTGTATACTGTTATTTTCATACTTTATAAAAAAAAATATTATTTCAAAAAAAAAATCCAAAATAGATGTAGATTTATGTGATTATTATGGAAATACCGTTTATGGCATAAAACCATCCAGATTATCATAAATTAGGACTCAACCATCCAGATTATTATAAATTACGGCTCAAACCATCCATATTATCACAAATTATAATCAAAGTAGAATAAACAAGCATGAAAACAATTGAATAAAAAATTTCCAAATTTTGGTTTGACAAAATTCCACCAAAAATTCAATCTGAATTAGGGTTCAATGAGCCTCCAAAATTTCAGATTACAAAATCAATGCAAAATCTTAAAAAAAAAAAAAAAAAAAAAAGAACTTAAAACAAAAAAACCAAATTAGGGGTTTTTTCATATCCCTAAACCTGTACATGCTGCTGCTTCCTATGTGCATTATGCTTCTCTCTCTCACTCAATCCCCAAACAGTTTTTTTCATTTTCTCAAACCCATAGTTCTTCTGTGTGTGCTCCGCCCTCTTTGCATGCTGCTTCTCTCTCTGTATGTGCTGCTTCTCTGGTTCTCCCTCCCTGCGTGCTGCTCCACTTAGGGTTTTATTCTTCTTCCTCTCTGTCTAGAACTCCAGATGCTTCTTGCTGCTGTTTGAACTTTGAAGTAATAGGTCGTCAACTCACCATACCGTAGTTATCATATCTCTGGTTGCTTCCAACTCACCATACCGTAGTTATAATATGGCATATCCATATAGTGTATTTACCATGGTGTATCTATATAGTGTATTTATCGTGTATTCATATGGTGTATTTTTTTTTGGTACCTACTAAATAAGTGTATTTCAAAATTTATAATATTTTTAAACTTAATCGATTTTTTGACTCCGATTTGTTGAGCCTTGTCCAATATATTTCCAATAAATATTTTTGTCGAACCGCATTTTTTACTCAATTTTTTCATCCGACTTTTTTAGATAATAACGATTTATTTCTAATTTTAACGTGAGCCGAATTATTGATAATCTCCGACTTGCGTGGTACCTCTGGCTAAGGTTTCTTATACCAATCAGTGTTCCCCATGATAAATATGAGAGTTAGGGCCTCAAACTTTCAAACTTGACAAAGTTCATGGGCTAGTGTTAAGTTTATGCAAATTTTATTATATAAAGTCTTTAATACAAAATGCTTTTTTTTATAGACACGTCTTGCCCTATCGGAAGTTTTGTGTGAAGGATAAAAAACGGTCGTCCGAGGCCATAATGTTGATAATGAGAGCAAGTGTGCCTGGCCAAGTAACTTGGCTCAGACTCGGCCAAATAACTCGGCGTAGCTTAATGAGTGGGGCCAAGTTTTTTCGAGTTATGTGTCAACTCGGGAATATTAAAAAATAATAAAAAATATGGGATTGATTTATAATTTTTTGTGTATTATTTATATGTTTGGCAAAGATTTGTGAGTGTGTTTTTTCATAAATCCCTATTTTATATTATTCTCTCAATTATAAATTTGTTTTGTTTTTAACTCCTTTAGATTTGTTAAGTTTTTTTTTTTTTTTGTCTCAATATTTTTTTTTTTAATTTATTAAAGATTTTTCAGCCATTTGCACGCTTAGGCTGATTCTTTAAGATTTGGCTCAGTAACTCATCTCGACCAGGGGGAGCTCCCTAGCCGAGTCGATTTTCTATAGAGTGACAAGTGCTCCACTCTCCAACCTTAATTATTTCACAAACAAAATAGCGCGAGATGTTTCTTTTCCAAATAATGTAGCCATAGTGCTTAAAAGTATGGCCGATAAAAAGGAATACAAGATAGGAAAATATGCTGTTTATTTGTGCTCACACCATTAAAAATTTTGGCCTCTAAAACGGATGCAAGATAGAAAATCTTGTTGTATATTTGTGTGCGCTTCTTGTCCCTGTGTCGCCCTTCAGTCTCTGTATTGGGAATCTTTGTATTGGGAAGTTGATCAAAATGCACTTAAAAAGTTAGATTATTTAGCATTTTATATATTTTAATTTTAATTTTAAAAGTCATCAAAATATACATGATCATGACTTCGAATAGCTTACAATAAATAAAATGCTAGATAAATAGTAAATTAGGTACATTTTGATAAATTTTATTTCTTTATTTCCTAGTAATATACATGTGCTTTTTAACTTCCTCAAATACTTGCTTTCTCATTCTTAATTGTGATGATGCCATAGATGTAAGGACTTATCCTATATATATATATATATATATATATATATATGTTAGTCTTCCGTAGACCTAACCGTTCGGTTTCGGTCCGTACGACTACCACGCTACTATTACGACTACGACCGAACGTAACTTAACCTTAAAACCCGT